TCCGAATCCGATTCTTTAAAAATTGTAAATCCGATCCGAATCCGAATCCGATCGGATTCGGATCGGATCGGATTCGGATTATCGGATCCGACGCACAGCTCTAACATCTAGCGATCCTTCATACATTAGTGTTATCATAATACTACATAGGTTCATGGCAGAACACCTACAGGCTGAGTATCCGTCTCAAACTCGATCTTCAAGTCGCCAACGTTGAGGAAATCCGACGCGAAAGGTGCGTAGTGATAGGGAAAATACCACGTCCAGCTTGCACAGCCCTGGTAGTAGTAGCGCAGCACCCACATCAGACCCCTGACATATGCTGCCGCCTGAAACACACGTGAAAACAACATGAAGCAGATGACAGTTGCGTTACCGAGTCGAGGACTGTATCTTTGGCACAGAATAAATAATCAGCAAAGAATGTGTCTTCAGTCCAGACAGTGGAACACCTGTACTGTGCCATTGGTAACGCGTATATTTCGTTTGAGGAGGTATCACACTACAATATCAACTACATGCATAACTATATTACCTCAATGCACTGAGCATTGCTACGTTAAAGGGGTTTTACACGACAACAACGAATACGTGTGAACACTAACTCGTTCTTACTATCTACCATTTTTTCAACCTCGGCCGTTTGTCACTTAACCCAAAAATCATGTAGAAAATTTGCAGTAAATGTACTTATACGTGGCACGATGCATCAGCTGATGCCAATGCTATCAAAACTGCACATCCCATCCTCGTTAAAGGATGCTACTGATCATAAATCCACACAAGGAAACAAGTCTCGTGGGAGAGTGATTACCACTTCGTGTCTGAATTCAATGTTAGCTGGGCTGACATCAAACTTTGATTGATAGTATCTATCTTTCCAGCCATCTTCATATAACCTACCAAGTGCAGACAGATTAATTAGGGAGACAGTTCTATATACTACATATAATACAGAACTGAAGCTTCACTTCAGTCAAGAAATAATTATTATGCAGGATAGTTACTCTTTCACTGTCAATAGTGAAAGATTAAAATGCTGCACTGATACTCAAACAGGTGTGCGGCGTGCACAGTAAAACGAATCAGTGTATTCATATTGGACCGATATAAAAAAAATTTCCAAGCGGTTTACAAATCGGAGAAGAAATTCTTCCGGCCTACTTGGAAATACGAAAGCTTCGAAATTTACAAAAAACGGACCAACAATGAGTAACAGCAGGAGAGACAACAGCAACCAGCGTGTGGCGAGAGCGTAGGCAGCAGCGCCACCTGGCTAGTGCTTGGTCGGATGCGGGTGCCAATGACAACGTACCTGACATCATCGACAGGCTCAGGCTCCTCCTCCTCGTCATCTTCATGGGAACGCTTCGTGCCTTTTTGCGCCCCTTCACCCGCAGGCTGGCAAACGCGTACGTAAAAACACACATCAAAGTTATTACACTGTGGGGAAGCTCGTATCCCACGTAAATAACTTTACAATACATCTTTGGAAAAGTCAGCCGGGGAGGCTAATCATTGGTTACCCTTACCTGCTCAACTAAGTTAGTAACGGTAACTTGCCCTACTTGTTGTTTAGTGCAATCATTCATTTTTATAACTAATATTAATAGTACATAATTACTTTATTAATTCTAATTCTCTAACAATGCAATGGCCACTCATGTTAAAATTTTTTACATCACACCCAATTACAGTTCAGCCGAAGAAATATACTTTCGTGACTATTTCACTCGCTCGCCAGGAGGACAAAATTAACTTTCGCTCAAGGAAATGTGATGGACTTAAAGCCGCACTATGCGCATCCAAACGCTAATTTCTCCAGTACTAGACTTGCAAATACTTTGTGTCATGCATAATCACACTACCTTATGACAAAATAAACTCTAGTTCCATTTCACTGCGCGTTGTCTTATAAAAGGGCATTGAAAATACCCCCAATGTTGTTCAAATTCTCCGATGTTGTTGAAACTTTCGCTGTTGCTCTGCCAAGCAACCGTGGAGCGGTGCTGCGGGTACAGCGGTACAGGTGTAGCAAAGATAAAAACATGTGACGTCACCTAACCGATTCTTGGCGGTAAATTGTTTGGCAAACCAATTTAGCGTTGCGCCAGATTAGCAGATTGTCGCACTCTGTTCTTGTGGGGTTTTAAGCAAACGCGCGAACTAGAGTTTATTTTGTCATAAGGTAGTGTGATTATGCATGACACAAAGTATTTGCTAGTCTAGTACTGGAAAAATTAGCGTTTGGATGCGCATAGTGCGACTTTAAGGCACAGTGCTGCTGTGCGACACAGCGATCATGGTACACTCACAGTGAGCATGGCACGCAGCTCCGCGGCAGCGTTCTTATTCGCTGCGTTCTGCGGGTCGTTAGAGCGCATATCCGTTGCAGTCTGTCTAGGATTGTGGATCGTACCACCCCTGCCTGGCGCCTGTGGTGCGTACTGACCGCCCATCATGAAAGATGGTTTCTCAATTCTCCCCTTCTCCTGCAATCACACGCAGCGTACATAGCGTAATCACATCAGTATTTCGTTGTGAGATGTATTAGTGTCGATGAGCTAATTGGCAGCAATTAATTTCAAGAACCGAGAGACAGGAATAAAAAAACGAGACGAAATAATCTCGACATACCATTCTCATCCTTTTCTTTTTATCCTTATCTCTGCGTCGAAATTCGAGCTGTAAAAAAGGCATTCGACAAGTATAATTTTTCAACATGGTAAATCTGAAGTCAGGGACTATAAATTTCAATTACTTCCTCTGCAATAAAAATATTAATATAATAATGCACTATACCTCTTTCAGTTGCCTTTGTTGGAATGTGAGATCTTCCATTTCACCTAGCTCTGACAAAATCATCTGTATGCGTTCCTGGCTCACACTACCACTGTCTGTGATGTAACCCTAAAAACAATTTTCTATTAACATGTATCTACGTATACATAAACTGGTGCTACTAATTGAGCTCAGACAGATCACAAATAGTATATGCAGGAGTAATCATGGCATGTTGGTCAACCGTGCACGAGGAGCATACGAAATGTTCAGATAGTTCGGCTCTGTAAAAATGACACTATAATTAAGACATCAATCAAAATGCTTCACAAATTCGCTGACATCAATTTGCTAAATTAAAAAGAGAAATTGTGCTAATTTTTAGTATGAGTTACAAGGTTATGACCCAAATGGTTTTTATATTTATTACAAAAATTGCTAATAAAAAACCAGTACTTATGCCAACCATGTCACGTGTTAAAGTTGATAAACCTTGCAGCTAAATGCATATATATATACCTACTGTGAGCTTGCAAATGTTGCAAAAATTCATTACAAGTTACAACTCATTTGCATTGCTAATTTCATAACATTTCTTCTCAAAATCTAAACGAAATTACTTCTCTTACGAACGTAGCACCACAGGGATGTTTACACATCTGGGACACAGCGGAGCAATCGGCTCGATTCAGTAACAGTTCCTTTCTATGATAAACCAAGTTACAATTCATTATTCGATGTTTATTCAGTACAAAATTGTGAAATTTGTTTAAATCATATCGTTATCTATATTACCTATGTAATCAGGAAACAAATATAGTGTTTTCGTTCCAGGAACTATTTGCGCTAGCGTAGGGCTACTACTAGCTGTGTAACAAAACCGCCTCCGAGTTTTCAAAATAGTCAACTTTGGAGCACATTTCTGGCTCAACGAGAACATTTCGTGATGTTTGCACACTGCGAGTTTGCTCACAATAGGTCTATATAAGCTTTTTGTTGCGAGGTTTATCCATTTTAATGTCACACTTCACTTACACCTGTTTTGTAGACACATTTCTTATACAAGTTGACTAGTTTGTCAATTGCGCCTTCTCTAATTTCCAGCGAAGGAAGGTGTGGTAAGAAGTCATTGCCAACAAAGAAACACATGAAAACCCAGTCGTCGATAGCTCTCTGCAGAAGTAACAAAAGAACACAGATACACATAGGCTGGATGCATACTAATATTGATAATTCCTCTTAGAGATATATTTTCACAGAAAAGAAGATGCACCCTATTACAACACTCATAATGAATGTGTCACCTCATTAGGGACACTAAACAAACTATTGTGTTCATCTATTTACACACATGTTGCAGGATTCTCTCTTGGAATTTTAGGCAGCATTTAATTTATGGTAGAATGGGGGAGGGCCCAGGAAGGGGTTGTACCAATTGGAGTTAATTACGCATGTCATACATGTCATATGCAGCCCCAATACACATTTAAACTTGATCACTTCGGGAACAAATACATCAAGCTGTGAAAACACAACATGACTGTTGGGATTAGCAAAATTAAACACAGCTGAAAATTAAGGCATGCCAGATTTATGGGATGTGGCAAAACAGCTTAAACGTTGCAGGCAAGTCAACTCCGACGTCCGTTAAATGCCTCCAGGGGAACCCCCTGTATTCTGAACAACTACAATACGTGCAGATTCTGTCACCTCAAAGTCGTACGGGAAGGGAAGGTTATCCATGCGTAACTCCCGTTGGAGATATTCCTTCAGCACTGGCAATCTGATAAAGATAAACTCCGTCTCGGCTCCGACTGGCTTCGACAACTCATCGTGCTACAATGAAAACACAATATATCAACATCACTAGATCAGAGACAGACAAGATCATGGAAAGAGAGAGAGAGAGAGAGAGAGAGAGAGAGAGCGAGAGAGAAAGAGAAAGAGACAGAGAAAGAAAGAGGGAGAGAGAGAAAGAAAGAGAGAGAGAGAAAGAGAGAGGGAGAGAGAGAAAGTGAGAGAGACAGAAAGATATATATATATATATATTAGTGTTGTCAATCGGTTGTAATTCATAATCGATCATCGTTGACCCAAGTAAACTGGATGATCGGGTTTTTTTTTTTTTTTTTTTTTTTTTTTTTTTTGTTTTTTTTTTTTTTTTTTTTTTTTTTTTTTTTTTTTACTTTTTTTTTTTTTTTTTTTTTTTTTTTTTTTTTTTTTTTTTTTTTTTTTTTTTTTTTTTTTTTTTTTTGTATTTTTTTTTTTTGTTTTTTTTTTTTTTTTTTTGTTTTTTTTTTTTTTTTTTTTTTTTTTTATTTTTTTTATTTTTTTTTTTTTTTTTTTTTTTTTTTTTTTTTTTTTTTTTTTTTATTTTTTTTTTTTTTTTTTTTTTTTTTTTTTTTTTTTTTTTTTTTTTTTTTTATTTTTTTTTTATTTTTTTTTTGTTTTTTTTTTTTTTTGTTTTTTTTATTTTTTTTTTTTTTTTTTTTTTTTTTTTTTTTTTTTTTTTTTTAGTTGTTTTTTTTTATTTATATTTTTTTGTTTTTTTTTTTTTTTTTTTTTTTTTTTTTTTTTTTTTTTTTTTTTTTTTTTTTTTTTACAATCGGTTACACGGGTGTTGAATGCCTGCGTGTGCGTAACGTGTGTGGCATC